TTCTACTACTACTCTATAGCTCTCTCAAAGGGAGGCCATTTCTTACTCACATAGCCAGGCACCTCTCAGCACCGTCTGAAATAATTTCACATATATTTTCTCCTGTATTCTTCCCTACTTACATTCTTAGAGGATCTTCTAAATTTGGGGGGCACAACTCTACCAATATGATTTAGTAATTCTAGTAGCATTTGAAAATTTTGGACTTTTCAGAAATTTTGTTGATTTATAGAAGGCTGGTTATTGTTTTATGAGGGTTATTTAAGTTTCTTACAGAATCTTATTTAGAAGCACAGCAATCTTAGCTAAATCCTTTAAATCAATAGTCAGAATCTATTTACTGGGGATTAGCTGATTAATTATATTGCAGGTGCAATGATTTGTTTTTTTTGATTGATTCAATTATTTATTAATTATATACTAACTCCTCACCACAGGCTAGGCACTATGAGCACAATAAACAAAGAGATAGGAGCCCTCTCTTCAGGAGACAGATATAAATAAGAACACAAATTATTAATTATAAATAACAACACAAAATACTATTTAATTATCTAAGTAGGAAAAGTTCAGTATGTAATGACTCCATGAAGGGGAGCAATTTAACAGGGATAAACTTGTTGAGATGGATGCTTTGGAGGAAAAGGAAAACAGAAAACCAGATCAAAGAAAATTTTTTCCTTCTATTTATATATACCAATGACTGATGACCAAGTAGCCCCTACATTATGGAGGATTGGGTATGTTAAAAAAAAGCATTTATTTTTCAATTAAATACAAGTAAAAGTTTTAGTTTTGCCTGGCTAAAGAAATCTGGCAGTCATAGCTGTAAGCTCTAGTATATTGATTCTACCCACTTACTATGATGCTAATGGCCATGCATACAAGTATTGGCTTTCTGCTTCTTGTTAGTAGAGTCTTTGGAGATACAGTAGAGTTGTTTACTGGTATGTAAACAGAAAACTAGAGGCTAAGTTCTTTGATCCAAGTCTCTTTTTTTCTCTTGGAGTTTTACAAATGTTTTCCAGGTTTTTACATACTTTTTTTTTTTTTTTCTTATTTAGAACTTACATAAAGTCTATCTTTTTCCCCCTTGTTTTTATTGTTCTTTAAAATATAGACAGAATTTCCTGATTTCATGCAGGTTAATTGTCAGATTAAAAAAAAACAACCCCAAAGAAGTTATAATTATAGATAACTGACTCAGTGCAGAGTAACACCAATCACAGGGATATTGTTCTGGTTTTGATTTCAAAGCAATCACGGAGTAAGCCTCCGTTGAATTGGAACATGAGTCAGCATTTAGTAAAGCTGAGTTTAAACCTCTACTCTAGATTCTGAGTGACAGCAAACTTCTAAATAGGACACTGTTTGTTCATAGTTTTGGGTATCTGTGATTTACTTGGCTTTGTTAGACAATAGAGGCTTTGGTTCAGTTATATTTTTAACATTCCTTAAAATAAATCAAAGAGTGTTCCCATTTTGGACATGGATTGGTATGGTGGAGGAAATGAAGTGCTGAGTATCCAGGGATTACACACTGGGCTCCGAGCTAGACTGCCTTAGTTAATATTTTTTTGGTTGTACATAATAGAAACTGGCTCTGGCTAGCTTAAGGGGAAAAAGTAAGTAGTGCTAGCATATTGGAAGAATATTTGGGTATCACATAGAATTCAAGATCCAGAAAAGACAGGGATCGGGGACCTATGACCTCAGAAATCAGGGTGCATGCCTGTGTAGCTAACTAGCATGGTAAAGCAGTGCAAGTGACTCACCATGTGACTTTTCACAGGAGGTCTGGGTGGGGTCAGGTCTTCACCTGGAGATCAGTCAATCAAAGTTGGAGGGGGAGAATGATTTGATTGTGGGCAACCACACCTGCATTTTGTGGGCAATTTCCAGAGGAGGAGGAATTACTGTAAACTGGCAGCCACACCAGTGAGGTTTATATGGGCACTTTACAAGCTTAATTTAATTTCACAAAAAGCCTATAAAAATCATTCTTTCCACCTCACAAATGAGAAAACTTACACTCAAAATGGTTAAGGTAACTTGTCTAGGGGTTTCACAATTAGAATGTGGTAAAGCTAGAAGATGAAGTAGATCTATAAGGCAGGCTAATCTCATTCTTAAAATATGGAAATAATGTGATAAGACTACCTGGGACAGAAACTTTCAAATATTTTCTCATAGAGAAAGTATTAAGTATCTACAGGCTACTGGAAAGGGTAGAACGATGTGCTGAAAGCCTTGGGGTTGAATCCCAATTCCAACCTGTCACCAGGGCCAAGAAGAAATCTAATCTTCTCCATTAATAAATGTGTATATATCATCTCCTTTGTAGGGTTATTGTAACTTCACACAGTTATTGAGATAACATACTAAAGTACTTGGCATAAAACAGACATTCATCATTTTTGCGGGGGGAGGGGGGAAGAACATTTCTACTAATGCAAAGTAGAATTTTTCTACTACTTAAAACAGAGTCACAGTTTGGTAGTGGCTTTATCATTCAAAAATCCTAACTGTTCTGCTTGCAGTCTTTCAAAACCAGTGCCTTATTCATTCATCTAAATGTAAAGGTAGAAAAATGCTACGTAAAAAGGGTTAACGAAATCATAGACTCGGCAAAGAAAGTTTTAGATACAAAATATTTGACTATTTCTCTTTAAGGCGTGGGGGGTTCACATTTTAGGAAAAAAACTCTTACTTTTGTAGTAGCACAGTACTTAATCATGAATACTACCAGAAATGGTCTATGTCCTTTTGATCACCAGAGCAAAAAGAGAATATAGTTCTTAAAGTGGAAATCTATAACTTGAACATCATTGAAATAATTTATTAGCTAATAAGCTTCACAAGAATTAATGTACCCAAATAATCACAATTCCGTGCCCAGATTATACTTCTCAGTTGTCTTTGAGAACACCTCTGTGCAAAAAGCATTGTAGTTTTGTAGCAATGTTATTGTACTTGGTAGGTATTCTGCAAATAAAAATACACATAGACTAATAGGTATCATTTTTTTTCCAATTTAATTTCAGACAACAATTAGTCTATGTAAACAGCAAAGTTGGAACCACAAATGGAAGGAAAAAAAAAAAAAACATTCTGTGGTGTTTAGAGATGAAAAAGAAGTGTAAACTATGGCTACTACAGTCTCTTAATATTTCCACTATCTCTGGAGCTTAGCTTCAGTGACCTTATATGCTTTATATTCAACTAACCCATATCTGAGTAATTGTAAAAATATCCTATCATTTATTAGTAATTTGATGACAGAGAGTGTCAAGTGACCATACCATTGTGTAGCTGGCTTGTTCCTGAATGAAAAAGCTCCCTTTTTATACTATGTTGCATTTCAAGTCAATGGCCTGCTTGCTTTAATTTTTATTTAAATTTATAAGAGAAAACTGATCAGTTATTACTAAAGATTTTTGGGAAATATTATTGTACATATTTAAGAAGTATGTATGGTATTACAAAACATCATCACACATGGATCTAGAGGATTGATCAAGGGAAAATTTTAAAAAAGAATTAAGGAAATATTTCAGATTTCTCATTGTAATGAACCTTTAAGAAACAACTTCTTACCTAGTTTTGATGTAGTATCAAAGAATATCTGCAATTCTCTAAAAAGGTTATGAAGACATTTTTTCCTTTTTTAACTACCTATTTCCATGAAGCTGGATTGTTTTCATATACTGCAACCAAAAGAAGAAATTGCAGCAAACTGAATGCATAAGTTGATATGAGAATCCAGCTGTCTTCTGTCAAGAAATATATTAAAAACATTTGCTAAAATATAAAACAATGCCACTCTACTTTTTGTTTTGAAAAATATGGTTATTTTCGTTAAAATGTCATATATAAACATGCAATAGGATATTGTTATTTCTAAATGAATTAATAAACATTTTAAAATAAAAAATAAAAAAAGAATTAAGAATTTTTAAAGAAGAAATTGAAAAAAATAACAACCAAATAAGTTTTGAGAGCTTTTTATTACACTGAGAAATCCCAGAAAAGTACAAAGCGCCCATGAAAGTAGATACATTTCTGAAAATAAGACAAAACATTTGCATACATATATCTTCATGACATTGTAGTTCTGATGTTAAAAGTATTCATGATTTTGCATTGAAGCACACTGCTCATGAATTCAGTATATTCCGAAGTCCTGGGAAAAGATCTCACATATCCTGTATTTGAAGCTGAATTCCTATATATGTTTGAGCTACATTCTCTTTCTAGGGATTAAGTTCATGGTTTGATTCATAAGAAAAATGACTTTATTGATTTGTGGTGCCCTTGAAGAGAAGACATAGGAAATAAGCATATATCACACACCTTTAGTTTCAAAGTTGAATTAATGTAATACTCTTTAGTGCTTTTAATGGTATTGTTTTTTTCCAGTAGACCAAATAAAATACATAGATCTACCTGCAGAGAGGTTTGGTAATGCCAGAATGATTATCATATCAGTGTTTTATTTCCAAGTTATATAGATAAATAGATGATGTTGAAATCCATGCTATTTCTGTTTTCAAGATCAAATAAATGTATGCTTACATTCCGGCATTTCATCAAGAGTCATCATGAAGCAATATTTACTACTTTTGCCAAATATAACATAACAGGCCACCAGAGGCTAAGAAGTTTACTTAATTTTGATAAAGTAGCACTTTTCAGTGGCTTTTGGGTCATATTATACTCTCTTGCTGCTACTACTATTAATAATAAAATAATAGTAAATGTAAAGGAGAAAACAAAAGAAAATAAATTAGATCACTTGATAGTTCTTCTAAATATTGTTTTGGTTTATCCTTGAACTAGAAATCAATTCTACAAGGTTTGGAAAGAAAACAAAAGCATCTTTAGAATTTATAGCATGTATTTTAAAGGTCTAATGATTTATCCAATGCCGGTGTGGGGTTAGCATGTCATGTTCTCTTTATTCAATGTCAACTGGTTCCGTAGCTATTAAAGCACTTAACTGTTTCTGAGCACAGGAGAGGAACAGTTCCAAACTGGACAGGCTTCTTTGGCGGATGACTTGATCAAGCTGCCAATGTTTTTTAGAGAGAGAGAGAAAGAGAAAAAATGCACTTAGTTAAGTGATAAAGATATTGTCACTGAAGCCCACTTTCTTTTCAGATGAGATGATTTAGGACATCAAATAATACTTTAAACTGAATGACAATGTAGTCACTATTTCTGGCCAGTCATCTAAAATGAGATGATAATCATTACAATCTTAAAGTGGATGTTGATATTCAGTTATTGGAAAAATATAAATTTGATCAGAGTGATTTTAGAAAATATAAAATAGTATAAAAAATGCCAGTTCTTAACACATATATAGACCAAAAACTCACAAAGATCATACAAACACCACAGATGCAAGTAACAAAAAAAATACTCAGTATAGAAAAACAGCATATTTACATTATACATAGCGTTTAGTAGAACAAATGATAAGTGAGGAGATAAATAATTTGCTGAAATTAGAGAAAGTTTTTGGGAAAGGTATACTTTAAGAAATATCTGATATTGTTGAAACTTATTTGTTCTCATTATTTTGCTGAGGTAGAGATTTTTTTATTAGGATGTTCTAATGTATCAATAGCAATATAGTGAACAAAACAAGAGTGTTAATAAGGGAAGTTATTGGGGTTATATATAATAAAGAACATTCCAAATGGTAAAGACTATTGAGTTCAATAAGAAAAGTTTCTAACTCTTCTGTGTGAAAAAATTTTCGCATGGTGTAAAAATAACCAAACAATGATAACACCTTGCTTATAGGTTATAGAACAATGGAGGAATTAAAAAGAAAGCCAAATAAATTCCATTTTACAATATATAACTGTCATATTTATGTAAAGGTGACATTCTTCTCTTCCCCCACAAAAAAAGGAAATCTAAACAGGAATTCTCTATTAAATTATATTTCTATAACCTGATACCCAAAATGACTGAAAAACTAGAAGTCTAAAATTGTGAAGTATCCTAAGCATTAACTGATCAAAACACAATAATTTAGCAAAATGCTTATATAAAAAGATTGAACTATTTGACTCTCTTCAATTCTAATATTCAGAGATTTTAATATCCACACATAAATAGGATTTCTACTTATATCTTTTCCTCCTTATCTTTTTCTTTTCTTCTACCTCTCTTTTTTTTTGAGACAGAGTCTTACTCTATTGTCCAGGCTAGAGTGCTGTGGTGTCAGCCTACATCACAACAACTTTAAACTCCTGGGCTCAAGGGATCCTCCTGCCTCAGCCTCCTGAATATCTGGGACTACAGGCATGAGCCACCATGCCCAGCTAAATTTTTTTTCTATATATTTTTAGTCGTCCAATTAATTTCTTTCTATTTTTAGTAGAGACGGGGGTCTCACTCTTGCTCAGGCTGGTCTTGAACTCCTGACCTTGAGCCATCTGCCTGCCTCGGTCTCCCAGAGTGCTAGGATTACAGGCGTGAGCCACCGCACCCAGCCACTTTTTCTGCTACCTCTATTGGATGATGCCTTTAGGAGAATATATATAACCTTATGCTTATAAGACTATTAAACAAGAGAGTTCTTAGAATGTAAGTCCCAGGTGAGCAGAAATTTTGCTCGTCTTGATAACTTACTGTATCCCCAACATCTAGAAGAGGGTCTGGCATGTGTTAGACACTTATATATATTTGTTGACATTGAATGAATCAATAAATCCATAATCCTAATTGAGCAAGTCAACCTACTAGGAAATGACAGAGGCACTTTTAATGCTAATAGTGAAAGCACGCTTAACCTACCCTAAAAGATAATGAAGGAAATTAGATAAAGTTGGATTTTAAAAAGTTTCATTTTACTATATGTAAAACAGATTAAAACCTAAGTATTTGTAGCTTTTTAAGTTATTCTGCACTTTGTCAAAATTCAAACAGCATAGAAGAATGTACTAACACTCACTTCCAGTCTATTCCCCTGTGATTTCTGTCTACTTTTAGATATTTTCAAGCATTTAAATATGGCCTTTTAAAAATATTTGGTCCAGATCTTATAATTGTTAACTGTGGGAGGGTTCACACAATCACTTTATTCTACTGCCATTACTGGAATTATTCCCTATCACATTTTTAAAAAATTGCTCGACTGTATTTCATGACTTATTTACCCATTCTCTCATTGACAGACACATTAAGTTTATTCCAACTTTGTGTTGTTGCTTTTGAAGCAATAAGGACATTTACAACTTGAATGCACACCTTTCAGAAGATGTTCAAGGGTTTCTTTTGGACGGATTCCAATATGTGGAATTTCTATGTCATAAGATTTGCATATTGTAAACTGTGATATTACCAAATTGCTTTCCAGAGCAATGTACCAAGTTATCACTCCTAACTACAGAGAATGAGAGGAACATTTTCCCATTTTCTTCTTATAAACAGTTGCATGGTTTCCATTGTAAGTTTACAATTTAATATATGTAATAGATATTTTAATATTTTAAAAGTATTCTATTGACAGACATTTGGACTTTTCCTTATTGTTGGCTATGCTAATCAATGCTATAATGAACATCCTTCAACACAGACCTCTGTATACATGTGGTAGTTTGTAGAAATTGCTTCAGCAAAAGAATATGTGATCTGCAATGCTACTGCTAATCATAAACCAGGTTTCTAAACATGCATGAATCTGTTATTGGCCTCTCTATCCTGTTCCCTTGGACACTGAACCTATCTCTACACTAATGTAATGCTATTTTTATTACTACAGCTTATATTAAATCTTAATATATTACCCGTTGCCAATATAAAATATTTCAGAAGAATATAAATTAGTGTATACTCATAACAAAATTGAGTTTTAAAAGGAAATGACCCAACTACAGTTAGTCTCATATTGTTTTTTCATAAGCAGAAAAAAATATGCAAAACTCAGAAGTACATTGAGATATATATATAGATGAAAAAATATTTCTTTTTGAGACAAGGAAATGATGCAATCAAAACTGAGGACAGCTGTATTCAGAGGGTGGAATTAGGATGATTTATGTAGATTCAGTTTGGAGGTGGCCTCATGGGTGTTTGTTATACTATTATGCTTCATAACTTATGTACAATATCATATATGCTAGCTTTAATAATTCAAAATTCAAAATCTTCTGGCACAGATCAGGAGTTTCATTAAAAAAAAAAAAAATTCACTAGGCCAGGCATGGAGGCTCATGCCTGTAATCCTAGCACTCTGGGAGACAGAGGCGGGAGGATCACTTGTGGTCAAGAGTTTGAGATCAGCTTGAGCAAGAGAAAGGTCCTGTCTCTACTAAAAATAGAAAAAATTAGCCAGGCACAGTGTTGTGCACCTGTAGTCCCTGATGTTTGGGAAGCTGAGGCAGGAGGATCGCTTGAGCCCAAGAGTTCGAGGTTGCTGTGAGCTAGGCTGATGATCGTGGCACTCTAGCCTGGGGGACAGAGTGTGACTCTGTCTCAAAACATCAAAACCAAACAAAAACAAAACCAAATTCGACTTAATATCTTAGAATTTCTGGATGTTAGATGAAAGAAAAGCTTGTCTCCCTTTGAGGGAATATAGTACAAATTCACATGGTATAACTAGCATTCTGGATATATGCTTTCACAATGAGTATTCTGCAATTTTTTAAAAAGGATCAGCACAAAAAAGTTTGACAGATTTCTATTTAAACATACCAAGCACTTCTCTTTTCTTGCTTGTGTTAGAAGTCACGTTGGAATTACTGAATGTAAGATGACAGACATACAGGTTTTGGTTTTAGGCAGCTGCCAAGACTCACTTCACATCTTTTACCACTCCTCCCCAGAACACTCTGAAGGCAAGAGTACTTTAAATAAACAGGAGTTCAGCACTTTAAAGAGCAACAAGGAGACACTGATACCCCATGAGGAGGAAGATAGAAATTGAGCCATCCTGAAGCTGAGCTTCCAATTTAGTGGGTCCTTCCAGGGTATGGTATGTAAGATCATGTCTGTGGGAGGGAACATGTATGACCTTTCTCTTATGATGTTGAATTCCTGTCTCTGAAACAAACACATCAAACTGATGTTCTTGGCAAATTTCTGAATTTCAACAGTTTCTATTTTATTAGGCATGACCTTATTATCCTTTATTGAGGCAAGAATTTTGGCAAAACATTCAACTCTTTTTTGCCCCTTGAAGAATAGGAATTAGTTCTGTATTTGTGGCTTTCATTTCAAAGTGGATCAAAGATTTGTATTCTGTGACATATTGCTGACAAATATTAGGTCCAGAGTAGAGGTGGCAAACATTTTTGGAAATGGGGTTTAAAATATCTTCATAACAGTGTAGCTCTAACTGCTTTGTTTTCTCTCCCATTAACTTCCATTGAGCTCTTATAGATACCTGGAAAAATGTGGAAATTCTAAAGTCTCTAAAATAGACATGTGGGCTTTATAAATAAATCATTTTTTTTTTGTCTTTGTCATCTCTTCAGCTTGCTGGCATACTTCTAAAAGCCATTTGGAAGCATACTACTTACTAAAAGTTGTTAAGTTCAATAAGCTTAGGGGGGAAAAGAACACATGTCTTCCTAATTATTTCCTGTGTTAGATTTACCTTGCCATCAGTGTTTACACCATAGCAAAAAAAAAAAAAAAAATCTCTTGACCTTGGTGTTTATTTCCTAGTCACCTAAATGCAATATGAAGGATGGTGAACTTGTATTGGTCTAAAGAGCAACATTCAAAGTCAATTACAAACAAATCTGGCTTATTTTAATGGGACTATTCATTAAGAATACTATTCATAGTTTTTGAGATATATATACTTAGTACTAATTGTGCTTTCAAAATATTTTGGGCTTCTACCAAGAAGTGTGAACATATCGGATCTACTTTTATCAGTGTTATTTTTCCAACCTACACATCTGTATATTTTAAATATAGGCTTAAAAAAAGAACTCATTTTTCAAAAGGGCTAGAATGGATATCCGGCAAATTCACTGATGGAGAGTGACTCATACACAAATGTTATCAGTTTGGTAATAATGTGTTTTATGGATTCAA